TGCTTGATTTACGCGACTTAGCGACTAGCTAAGTCACGAGGGGTTAATAATTAAATAATATATTAAATAATATAAATATATAATAATATAATAATAAAAATATTAAATAATATAAATATATAATAATATAATATGAATATCTATTCTAATATTAATGGATAGATATTTATAGAATAATATAATAATATAAATTAAATAATAAAAATTAAATAAATATTAAATAATATAAATATGTTAATATTAAAATAATATAAATATGTAATATAATAATATAATATAAATATATAATATAATAATATAATATAAATATGTATCCTAATATTAATGGATAGATATTTATATAATAATATAATAATATAAATTAAATAAATATTAAATAATATAAATATATTAATATTAAAATAATATAAATATGTAATATAATAATATAATATAAATATATAATATAATAATATAATATAAATATCTATCCTAATATTAATGGAATTAAAAAGAAAAATTTCCCATAACGATTCTCCTCTCGCTGATCTCACATCAAGCTAAAGCGTTGACTTAAAAATTCATTGCTGATGATTAATTACTTTCACAGGAGAATCGTCACTTGAACGCGAGAAATTACCAAATTATTCACGTTGTGAATCATCGACTGATTTATTTATGCGCCATTATCGTCGATTCATTTACTCCCGAATGGAAAACCAAACCGGAGGGGATCTGTTCTTTTGAACGATTCTGCATTTGCCGAATTATCGATCACTTGCCTATGTGGATTTCGCTTTATGTTGTATGTGTGAGAATGCATGAGAGTCGAGCAAAGGCATGAGTGCTGTGAGACAATTGCAAGTGTGTTGCGTGATGTGGTTTTGTTCAGAAGCGAGCAGAAGTGTATTAATTGCGAGTCTGAGTTAAAAGTAATATTGATCTGTGAGAAAGTGAATTCATAAGTGATGATTATTATATATTAAACATATTAATTAAAGAGTGTGTATTTTATTTAATTCACTCACAGTCTATACTAGTCGACCTTATCGACAAGAGTCGACGTCATAGGCTCGTGAGTATCACGTACCCCTCGTGGCTAAGGCTAAGTCGCGTAAATCAACCGGCTGAATTCAACAACAACAAGGATTTATTGAACACGTCCTTTTCCCCCCCCGTGTAATGATAAATTATGACGATCGAATATCGAGTCCTCGTGGAGAGGGAGAAAACGACGCGCATGTACACAGTAATATCGGCGAGCTATAAACCTCCCCGATATTACTGTTGGATTTTTAGGGGATGTTTATCCCGCCATCGTTGTAGATACTCGTTGTCAAAGCTCGCGCCCTAATGGCTACGTCCGAACGATAAACAAGAGTTATCAAGCTTAAGGCGAGAATTATCAACGTGCCTCTGTGTTGGTAGAGTCTTGCGAGAAATTGTTAATAAACGCTAAAAACCTCTTCTGGCGCGAGCGAGAATAATTTCAATATAAAGTGGAACGGTGAAATGAAATCTCGAGATTTGTTTGCAACGTTCTCGACCGTGAATGTTTCTAACACGGAATAAGATTGCGACGCAATTAATCCTTTCGAAGGGTTACAGCGAAGAGTCAGTGGTCGTGGTTTTCTTTTTCCCTTGACGACGAGTACACACGAGAAAAAGTAAACACGTTAAAGTAAAATTTAGTAAATTAGTTTACTGAAAGTAAAGTAAAATTAAATTAAGGTGAAACGAAAAGCGTATATTTTAGGACCAAAAAAAAAAGAAAAAAGAATAATGAAATTGTTGTCGATTCTAATTAGAATTTTGTATGAAATGATACAATTTAATGAATAAATATTTGTAAAATAATATATAATAAAATGTAATAAATTTATAATAAATAAATATTTTTAAAATAATAGAATATGATTTGAAAAAGAAACAGAGAATTCTGTCGTTTTGTCAGAATTTGTTTCAATTTTACAGCAAATGCAAAGTACACTATTTTTTTCTTTGCGAGTACACGCGTCGCGGTTCAAAAATAGGCGCGAAGTTTCCCAAAATGAGACTAGAACAGTTATACAACACTCGATTAATATTAATAGAAAAATGAAACGATATTAATGGAAAAATAAAATTATATTAACAAAATAAATTATTGTTAATAGAATGATAAAGGAATGAAGCGAAACAAAAGATGGTAATTAATGAAACGAAAGATGGTACATTTCAACCCTTGAACCGTTTAATTTTTGAAATAGCCACGTTCGCATATAGTACGTCGTTCTGAAATAATAATAATAAAATATAATAATATATAAATAATATATATATTTACATATTAATAATATTATAACGCATATAGTACGTCGTTCTGAAATAATAATAGTAAAATATAATAATATATAAATAATATATATATTTATATATTAATAATATTATAACGCATATAGTACGTCGTTCTGAAATAATAATAGTAAAATATAATAATATATAAATAATATATATATTTATATATTAATAATATTATAACGCATATAGTACGTCGTTCTGAAATAATAATAGTAAAATATAATAATATATAAATAATATATATATTTATATATTAATATTAAATAATATACATATTTATATATAAATATATATTATTAAAATAAATATATATTATTAATATTAAATAATATATAAATATATATTATTTAATATTAATAAATAAATAAATATATATATTATATATTATTATTTCCACATATTATTATTATTATAAATATATAATAATATATAATAATATAATATTGTGGAAATAATAATATATAATAATACATCGTGGAAGATGGTTCTCTTGAAAATGACGATATATTTCGTCACTCATTTCTCATGTATCTCGGTATCGAAAACTCAGATCTTCCACTATGTGTGGATTTTCACACGGAGAAGAGTTCGATTTCTTCGTTCGATAAAATTGGCTCTGACGATTCAGCGTCGACAGGAGAGAAATTCACTTTGGAAAATTTCTCATTCGTCGAGACGTTGAAACGCTCGCGATGATCGCGAAGATTTAGTAATTAAAGCCGGAGGGCAGCCATTAATGCCACGTTTACATACGGTCTCTCTCTCTCTCTCTCTTTCTCTCTCTCGCGTGTAAAGGGAGAGCCGCGGATTTCACCCTTTGTTGCTTTCCAACCTTTGACGTACCGCTGGCAATTCCTCGCTGGAGGAACCCCCGTTGTAATCAGATGATCTACATTTAATTAAAGGGAAACTCGTAATTGAAGAATGGCAATTAACCGTGGGTATTGTGCGGACGCGGATTACGTGATGTAACGCAACGCATTGTTACGTATAGCCGATACGCAACAGTTCGGGAAGACGAAATAGGAAAATTGCAGACAACCCACCTCTCCCACCTTTATCCCGATCATTGTGAGACTCGAAGGAACGTGAGAAAGCGAGATTCAGTTTAGTTTTCCTTTTCACTGTCTCGTGGAACGTCGATGATAAGTGGTTGGAACGTTGAAGTCGTTGGAAACATTGTATCGCGTTCCTGTTTCCTACGAAACGAGTCGTCGTGATGCGTGATGTAACTTATTTTGTGAAACAAGTTACAATAATGCGAGCGGAAAATTGACGGATGAAAATTTCAGGCGAAAATTCGGTCTGATTCTAACTTTCTGAGATCGAGGCTCAGATGTAACCTGAAAGAAAATTATTGATCCTCACCTGGAAGAGAATTATTGAACCTGACCTAAAAGAAAATTATCATTCCCATACATTTAATTAGAAAATTATTGAACCTAACCTAAAAGAAAATTATCATACACATGCATTATCTTTTCTCTGGATCTAAGCGAGAAATTTTCAAAAATTATTCTTAACTTCTCAAGATTCAGCTCGAGTATTCTTATCCTTCCAGTCTAGTCTCCATTTCTCTAAATTTTCAATTTATCGAAATGAATCGTGAAAAGCGTGGTGGTGAAACATGGCGGATGATGCAACTTGTTTCGTTGTCGAAATAAGTTACAATAGTGCAGCGGAAAATTGACGGATGAAAATTTCAGGCGAAAATTCGGTCTAATTTTAATTTTCTGAAATCCAAGCTCGAACCTAACCTAAACGAAAATCATTGAACCTAACCTAAAAGAAAATTATCATACACATGCATTATCTTTTCTCTGGATCTAAGCGAGAAATTTTCAAAAATTATTCTTAACTTCTCAAGATTCAGCTCGAGTATTGTTATCCTTCCAATCTAGTCTCCATTTCTCTAAATTTTCAATTTATCGAAATGAATCGTGAAAAGCGTGGTGGTGAAACATGGCGGATGATGCAACTTGTTTCGTGAAATAAGTTACAATAGTGCAGTGGAAAATTGGCGGAAAAATTTCAGGCGAAAATTCGGTCTAATTTTAATTTTCTGAAATCCAAGCTCGAACCTAACCTAAACGAAAATCATTGAACCTAACCTAAAAGAAAATTATCATACACATGCATTATCTTTTCTCTGGATCTAAGCGAGAAATTTTCAAAAATTATTCTTAACTTCTCAAGATTCAGCTCGAGTATTCTTATTCTTCCAGTCTAGTCTCCATTTCTCTAAATTTTCAATTTATCGAAATGAATTGTGAAAAGCATGGTGGTGAAACATGGCGGATGATGCAACTTGTTTTTTGAAATAAGTTACAATGTTACCGCGGAAAATTGACGGACGAAAATTTCAGGCGAAAATCCAAGCTCGAACCTAAGGAAATTATCGAATTTAACCTAGAAGAAAAGTATCGAACCTAACCTACAAAAAAATTATCACACACACACTCTCTCTTTCTCTCTCTCTTCCGAATCTAAACAAGAAATTTCCAAAAAAATTCGGAGAAATTCCACAAAAAAATTAGATATCAAATGATAAGATGGGGGTAAAAAAGATAATTGCAGGAACAGGAGATTCGTTGCAGAGCTCTCGCACCGAAACGGCCGAAAAAGGCAGTACACGTGCTCGACAACAGATATGTAGAGTGTCTTGTCACGTGAATTTTCAGATGGTTCGTTTATCCGTCCCGGCGATACAAGCTGCGTGAGGGGATCCACTCGCAATCAGAAAAATGAGCGCAGCCGTCGAGAACGGCGTGGATGGGCCGAAACCGCGCGGCGTTTTCTCAAGGGCGTTCGCCAAACGGGCGCAGCCCTTCGAGGAAGGTGAGTATTGCAGGGAATAAGGAACAAGGCACGTTGGGGATTACCGGTGGTGCGCACGGGGCTTTCTTTGGTGATTGGTCGTTGTTGCTGCTTCATAAGACACGATTTAACGGTGGTAGCGGAAATGGCTGTGGCTCGCTTGGAAACTGGTTGGCAGCCTCTTGATCAATTGGCTACTGGCGAGACTTTTTACGAGGGAGAATCGTAAAACGTGGAAGATTTGCAATAGTGAGGCTCCAATAGAGAAACAAAATTCGACGCGACACGCGCAATTTTTCGACGTGAAGAATGCACATATTTTTGGTAGTGCGGTTTGTAGTTTTGGTAACAGAGTAATCTATTTACGTTCAATTCGCACTCGGTGTCTCTTCTTTTCAATCTTTGCATCAAACTCACTTTATACTTCGACTTTTGACAAAATATTCTCAATCGAATATAACTTTCGTCGTTACTAGTTCAGTTTATTTTTACACGTTCGTAGTTTTGTATCTTTATATCCCTATATTTTTGCATCTTCCTGCGACAAAATCAGTTTTGTAAACAAGCAAGATTCCTTCCTCCTTCTTTTTTCTTTTTTTTCTTGAGGATCACTTTGCCCGAATGCTTTCTGAGAATTCCTCGCGCTATAACCCATCCAACATCGGTATTTCAATTAAAGTTTCATGCTCTGTCCGCGGGAACGGTGTGAATTGACGCGTTAAAGTTGAACAAGCACAGTTGGTCACGTCGAGAACGTATCACGAACGTATCGAGTGGGTTTCATTTTCGCGGAAAGACGATGAAGAATATCCCGGGCGCGCTAGAGGCGCATAATATCCGGAGCTAACTACCCCTTCGCTCGGTTCCTCGCTGCAAGCGCACTTAACGTGCTCGCGTGTTTGCACATAGACCTATATAACAGCTAGAAGGGTCGCCTAGGTCCACGTAAGCCCTTTATGTGCTTTAATGCACATACCTGGCCGTAACCCGATCCGCGTACTTACCTGTATCTTGCCAAACGAGCACGATAACATGTTCATCTCCCGATTTTTGATCTCTTCCTCTCCTCAGAAATTTTAATTCCCTTTAACGTTTCAAAGATTTATTATAAAAATTTTTTGATTTCTTCAATCTTCAATTTTTAACTGTTTGATCGGTTAGTTCGAGATCGTGTCTTCGTTATTCCTGACTAACGAGTCGAAGAAAATTGAGGTTGAACGGTGGGGTGCAAGAATTTCGAGCTCTTTTCAAAAAACTCTTTTCCAGTCGAAAATTTTAACTTCAATCGTTTTCGATTTCTCTGATCGTTCGAAAAGTGCGTCTCCATCACGATCGTCGACAATTTTCTTCCTAACTTAGAATGCTGTTAATTTGTAAGCTTGAACGGTTCCTCGTTTCCGGATTGATCGTATGTTAACTCTATCTGGAAACTCCACTTGTCTTCTTAACGAATCGTTCATCCCAAATTTGATCTCGATACTTTCCAATAAATGAGAATTTGATGGGATATCAATCGAGTTTCGAATCGGACGAGTGATTGAGAACGAGAGTGAGAGAGAGAGAGAGAGAGAGAGAGAGAGCACTGTGTATTGACGTTATGAGAGTTCAATAGGTGTACCAATACATCGATATCCCTCGAAACAGTATAGCACTCCGAAATGCAGGAAATATCATTCGAATTTCGATGTTTTCCGTCAATTACACATTACATCCATCGTTCCGGATAATATCTCATCGCGTTTCGGCCTTTCATCCTATTCGTCCTACCGCGTAATTCATACGATAAACAAATTAGAAATAATGTTTACGACGTGTGAAAAACGTCGAACAACATTTCGAAACGTTATCTCTGAATATTCAAATTTAAATTAATCTTATAAAGTTAATTAAATCAATCTTATAAAGTTCCTTTATATCTTTTATAACCATTTAAAATTTTGTTCTTTCATGCGCGAAATTTTTGTACTTTAGAACGATAATAATTGAAAGTTTGGACAATTTTGCTGCAATTTCTGAGAATTTTATCGAAATTCTCTAATATTTTTCTAACATCTCTAAATTTATAGAGTGACAATATGAAATGATATGTTTTTAATGTTGTCACGCGTCCACTTGTATTTATTTTAAGGTAAATTTATTATTTACTTGTTTATTTATTATATTATTATACAATTGTTTATTTATTTATTATATTATATTGTTTATTTATATTATTATACAGTTATTTATTTATTATATTATATTATTTATTTATGTTATTATACAATTATTTATCATGTTTGTATTATATATTATGTTTATTTATTTATTTATTATATTATATTATTCATTTATATTATACAATTATTTATTTATTTATTATATTATTATACATTTATTATTTACTTATTTATTTATTTATTTATTTATTATATTATTATACAATTTGTCTTTCATGATATTTCGAAGCGTGACAATTTCCAATACACTAGTTGTCCAACAAATTTCTACTGTCACTGGCAGCGTGACGCGCGAGTTTCAAAGGATCAACATTTCAAATATGAAATCTGCTTTGAAATTCCATATACCATTCTCTATAATTATCTGTTCTCTATATTCTTCCAATTCTCTGTGAGGCGGACTGAAAAATTCCAGGGTGGGCCGAAAATCCTACTAAAATAAGTCCGCGTCATCCTTTTTAATCTTTCTGCTTTACAGATTTTTAAAACACAGTGGGAAAGAATCACGTTTGAACTTTAATTTAAAGAAATTTAACTTAAAATCAACAAAATTAATTTTTGATGTTTTCTTGAAAGGAAAGAAACAGGGAAGAAACGTTTCGCCTACTCTGTAGTTCAATTACAACATTTAATTCTCGCTATGGTCAACGATCGAATGTATCACGGTAGAAAAAAAAAAAAAAAAAAAGAATGTGACGTGATGAAAAGAAGATACTCGCGAGGCCGGACAATCTTATTTACACGGCGAAGGTTACTTCTCGGTAACTTCGTTTAGCTGGCTAATTGCCAGGTACTCGCTTTCGGCCATCGGTGTGTAATTGCACGAATTTGAAAATTAATTAAGCGGGAATGTTTGGAAGGTTCGTTGCGTGGCGCGCGGTGGCGAAACGAATTTCTTATCTTGTCGCTTAATTGCCGCGCCGCGTGCAACGTCTTGACGAAAGGGGCGTAACGCTTGGCGAGAGAGACGCGAGCGTGATAAACCTGACGCAATTTACGCGCGAATTAATCGTATCGCCGTGGCCCCGTGGATGAAATTATCGAGAATGTTCGTCGCGAGTCGTAATCCCGTTCCTCCCAGGCGAAGCTTTCGAAAAAGAAAAGAAAAAAAAAGGAAAGAAAAAATGTTCAAGATCATCGATGTCGGAAATTTCTCGAGATCGAATCGGTATTACGCATACCGGTAAAATACCGGTATTTTTAGGTTAATATTCGATTACGTTTGATGAAAGCGTACGAAATGATACGAATACCGGTATGATGCTATCGAAACAATGTTAGGTCGGTAGATATATTTCTTTATAATACCGGTAAATAAAATATTAATATATTAGAAAAGGAAATGGAGACAATGATCAAATGTTTTCATAAAGCTGCCAATAGTAAATTTGATGACGCTTACACACGTATCCTTTATTATTTCTAATACTAGTTCATCGTTGTGTCTACGTATAATATCAGCCACGATACTCTTATTTAATTTTAAAAGATGACCGATTTCTCGATACGTTTTCCCTTTTTCTTGGTGAAGAATGACCAATTGTCGCACGTCGATAAATCGAAAGAGGAGTTAAAACAACGATTAATCGTAGAACGGAAGAATATTTCGCTAAATTACTTGAAAAAAAATTACTGGAAATAATCCTAAGCGTCTGCGATATATTATTGAAGTT